TGAGAGTAAAACTGTTCATACAATTTGCCTTTCCCATTTTTACTGGTCTGAATATCTGATTCTTGCGAATCCACCACTTTTTAAACTTTTTCTTGTTCTTATTTTGACTGGTCAGTGTTTAATCTAGCCCACAAGCAGTTTCAATCCCAAATTTCTTACTCCAGGAGTTTATACTCAATCAGAACAGATGTTAATGCAAGAATGGCAGACAATCCTAATAATGTTATAGATCAAATAGAAAAGGCTTGATTTTTTAGTTAATTCATTTACACTTTATCCTCTCATTGTTTCAGTTTGGTAACTTTTTAATAAAAAATAATGACCATTTCAGTAACTCTTCATTCAGGGAATTTACCATTCTCTGACATTAAATAGCATTGTTTGAATTCATATATAAAATTGGAAGTATTATGGCAAGATGTCAAATCACTTATACAAATTCGCGAATTCTTGTTATATGATACAGTTTATAACATTCAAATTATGGCAGGGGTTTAAACGTTTTGGGAAGAGTTCCTCTTCTTTGTCAAGTCCACCCCCAAAAAATGTGTTTGATTGGGCACAACCTGACCCATGTTTCGTTGTTAAATGTGTATTAGCCTTTCTTAAAAGTCGGGCAGAACTGTTAACATTTTAATTCATCAGCCTTGCATTAAGTAATCATTTTCATTACCTTAAATAAACAACGCTGGATGAGAAATAAAAATAATGAGCATGTCCTTTTGAAAGCTTTATTCCATATTCTGTATATAAATTTGTTTATAAAAAATTATTTATTCCTTTTTTTTCTCAGTCAGTGATACAAATTTCATTCCTCTACAGTTATGTTTCATAGACCACTTTTTCCTTTATCACACAGAGTGATTTGTATTGTTCCATAACCTACGAAGTCAAAGCAAAAGACGCTAGATCAGTTGCCCAGAAAATATGGATTTTCTACTGCTGCGATGACGACTTTTGAAGTACAAGCACCGCTGACGGTGCGATCGTAATCAGTTTCTTTAAGGTCTGAACGTAAGGCAAAGAGAAATGTTAGGCAGCATTTTTCTGCTGTTTGTAATCTCTCTCCATAATCTTCACCGCCTCCCACACATCGTCGGCTAAGAGTCCGGGCTCTTCAAATGCGGCAAAATGGCCCCCTCGAGGCATGTCGGTATATCGTACAAGTTTGCGATACTTTTCTTGCACGAGACATTTTGGTTGGTACGCTAATTCGTTAGGGAACATAGCGCATGCCGTTGGTGTTATGGACGGAATGCTGAAAACAGAATGAAAAAGTGAGTGAATACGGCGAATTACGAGGCCAGAGGAATTTCTTGAATATTACGATAATACCAAAAGTACAAATTATTCTTTAATATTTTAAAGAAAAGCGTGAATGAACTAACACATGGACAGAGTCTTTCTCGAGAAGATGACAGTCACTCGTATAGCAAAGAAATTCCGTAAAATGCCAGGATATTACGAAGAGGGCCTGTTGGTCCATTTCCGAATTCCCAAGCTGCAGGACCACCCCCTGTCAGATGTTAAAGACTAACCTGTCAAGATTTAATGCAAACTGCGCCTTACTGAAGCTCTCACTGTACAATCTTGCTGACGTCGTAATAGACCCAGTCACCCAATAGATCATTACATTATCGAGCAGATCCGTAAGCTTGTACTTCCTGGTCAGACCTCCATCCGGCAAAGATCTCCAATCCTTATCCGTCCAAGTTGAAAACTTTTCCAACAAATATGCGGCCAAGCCGACGGGAGATTCACGAAGGGCGACTCCTGCGTGATTGAAGAATGTGCATTATTTATTAATTTTAAAGCAGAAAAGAACTTAATGAAAAGGTTATTAAAGTCAGGTAAATGTAACATGCATCGTTCAATAAAATGTTACATTTATACGTAATCATGCGCTTTGTATCGTAATGATGTCCCTGAAATATTTTAATAAATATTCGCTATGCCGTACACACACACACAGATGGAAAGATTTGAGGCTTTCGTGGCAACTGAAGCTGATAAAATGCTCTCAGGCTCCACCTGACGCGGCTTGTAGCCCGAGAGTACTTAATCAATTTGAAGAAATGCTGGCATTATGAAATTCTTTTAAATCTTCTTCTTATTGAATTTTCATACCAATATTTTCACCACTGATTAAAAAAAATTTCTATGATATTTATTTTTTACCTGAGGTGAACGTCACTGTTCCATTATATATTTTTTTATTCCCTTGAACACTCCTACCATCATATAGCAGAGTCAAAGGTACGGGTATGTAAGATCGTTCTGTTTGTAAGGTCCATGAACAGAAATATGTGATGCTGTAGTAGCGTTTCACTAGAATTCTCGACCCTTACACGCCTGTTAATTCACAACCGAGGGCTTAATAATGAAGTCACCGCTCCAATAAATGCGTGCGTCGATACTGATAATATTGTAATACTGGAAATTATTTTAGGATTAACATCTACTGTGCGTGTGACACAGCTTACACATACAAACACAAATATTGTTCATCGTCCAGACTTACCCACTGTATCCGGCTTCGTAGCCTGAAGATGCATATAACCCATTTCTTCCAGCAGATGTGCGTAGTGTTTTCCGAGAGGGTACATCTTATCGACATGAGCTTCATCGACAATTAGTGTCGGCCAAAAACTTCCAAGAATTCGTTTTACATTTGCGGATATCGAGTTTACAAAACACATATTGGAATGAACACCAAGAATTCTGCAAGTTAAAATGTACAAACGTAAATCACACAACGTCAGACTGACTCCGTGAGAAGAAACTCATTCAAGAAGTTCCCAAAGGTTCACGTGAGTCTGTCACTGGTGCCAGATTAATCCAGTCCACACCCTCACATCCTATTGCTTAAAGATACAATTTAATATTATCCCTGATCTACACCAATGATTAAAAACTCATTTCTACAAATCACGCGACTGAAAAAATGATATTAACACTCAATAAAATTTCAATTCTTAATCACATATTAAGGCCATGACCACTTCTTTTCCAATTCGTTATTCGCTAATCATCCTGACATTCATAACAGCGTCATAAATAAACAACAGATAAACGAAAGCGCAAACATGTCGGAAGAGATAAGAATGAAAAGTGATTCAGCAGAGGGCAAAAGTGGCAAATCAGCTAGAACCACAAATGAATGCAAGTTTGGTCAATTTCTATGTCAAATTATCTGTACCGTGCGTCAAAGTATATGATAGAGTTGCATCTAATTTTGCGATGCAGGAAGCAAAACTGACCGTTCCCACAAGAACCCCACAATAGTTAAAGGCAGACCATAGAAAGCTTTCATAAGCACTCGTAATTCTGTAGCGAAATGCATTTTCTTCAGAGCCTCTACTGTAAAATGGTTCCAAATATTCTAACACTGACCACGTACCTTTCCGGAAAGAGAGTGCCCATATGTGAGACGATAAGCGCGCCCCAGTCTCCGCCCTGGGCATAAAACTTTTTGAATCCGATTCTCTCCATCAGATTTTTCATTACGACAGCCATCTGAACTGCACCCAGTCCTGGTTTTGAAGAGCCCTCCGAGAAGCCGTAGCCAGGTAACGAAGGAACTATGACCTCAAATACAAAGTCCACATTCTTTCGTGGTTTCGTCAGCAGTGGAATTAGCTCGTAAAATTCTCGTATTGAACCCGGCCAGCCGTGAAGGACGAGAAGCGGAAGCACGCGGGTATTCTTTTCCACTTTCTGTGGCTTCACGTGGATGAAATGAAGGTCTAATCCGTCCACATACGTCTTGAAATGTGGAAAACTGTTCAAGAATACCTGACGTTCTCGCCAGTTATACTTGGTCTTCCAGAACTCTACCACTTTCTTGAGGTAGTCGGTATTGAACCCATACTCAAAATTTGTTTTTTCCAGTGGTGGTGTGAGGTGTGAATGGAGGTCCAACCGTATTTGCAAATCGTGCAGAATCTGTTGAACAGACATAACGAAAGTACTGAAATGCTTTCCTAAGGGTTTAGGATATTTTATTGCATTATCATTTAACTTTATTGATGGGTCAATTCTGTAGAATATTTCTGCTTCTTTTCCACTATTTTCCTCTCTGCTTTTATTTTATTATTTGACTCTATGAACTGTTTTTTGTAATACATAAATTTAGCCTCTTTATTGACTCCTGCAATATTTCCTATAGTAAATTTTCATTACTTGGTTGTTACTAAATTGACAATCTGGGTAAACATCTAGGTTATGTTTGAAAGAAGTTTTGATGCCTTTGGTAATCCACTCATTATTTTCAGGTATCATTTTCACTGTTTGGGTGGGAAAAGGTGCTGCAAGTCAGCAACGAAGGGCAGATATGATATGTAACTTCTTAACACATAAAACAGTTTAAGTACAGAAGAAGCAATTCTGAGTTTCACACAAGAAAATTACCAGCACAACTGTATCTTGTCTGTATTTTCATCATTTTGTAAAAAGTTTTATTAAATATACACTGGTACTTTTCAATTGCATACTACAAGACAAGATTTTTGGTTGTAAGTATGCCCCAACTGGTCAGTGAGCCTCTACCAACCCTAAAGCTCAATTTGAACCACTGACTGCTAATGTAATAAAATATTAAGAGGAAATGATACATACATCATCTGAAATGTTGATTTTAAAGTTCCTGATAGATTCATCCAGCTTACGAGGTTCACCAGCTCCCCACCACGTGTTCCCAAGTTCAGGAAGTGGTGGTACTTGGTTCAAACTGTAGAATATGGACCCAATTCCAACAGCGGCAACAGTTACAGTGACAAACACCAATTTCCTTAGGAGTCCCATTCTCTGATATCTGACAGGAAAAAAACAGGGCAACATACTTTAAATTTACAGTTTACTTAATACCCACCATTCAGTTCCATAATTTTGTTACAGACTTTTCAGCATATGGGACACACTGGAAAACCATATATATTTGTACACTATACCAAATCACTTTTTCAAGAGTTGTAGTCCATTACAATCATGAGAAGTTTTTCAGCATATCCACTTTTTTCATGGTTGGTGAAAATGAGCTCTTTTGAAACTTTTGTGGGTTGTACACATTGTTAGAAAAATTGCCCTTGCCGTAATTTTCTAAATTCTGGGATCAGACATCAACAGTAGTTTGCACAAACCAAATTCTTTCGGCAAGATGTTCACGGACACGACCACAACTCCCATAAAACTGGTGTAAAGTAACTGCTTTTAAATAGCTTCCAAAAATGCTTTGCAACGTAAACATAAAAATAATAGCAAAATAAATATACCTGCTATAGCTTGAATGTTATCAAATATCATCAGCAAGTGGTCTACGTCCGTTTCTCGAGCTAAATGCCGGTATAGTAAATTAAATTAGGCCACAACCAACTCCATCCACACCCTTTCTAATTCATTACAAATCATCCTATCATTCAAAGCTATATAATGTGAATAATTGTAACCTTTTTCAGTCTACTCACGTGAAGACCGCTGCAGTGTATGAACAGTTGCTATGGCTGCAGCTTTCGCCAGTAGACCTAAACAATCACGTAATCTTCTATCCTTACAGGCCCAAACTTGCTTTGACCTTGACAAAATCCTGGAGCTGCTGTGTCATTGTTATTCTTGTGATTATATAAGTAAACGAAGAGGCGTGGCAATTGCGGGATTAGTTATGTTGCACTGTAATAATGCGTTATCATTTCTCTTATGAAGAATCAACCACGACCACCTCGCAGTTCAGAACAAACCCAGCTTCATTCGAATACTTGGCTGAATAAACATATGGTCAGAGTCACACAGACGGACATTGGTAGAAGTAAAATTGCACAAATGAGAATTACGTTAATACTGGTTCTACCGCTGTTGTTTCTTGGTGAAACGGATATTCTGTAGTGTAAAGCATAATTTTGCAGAAATACTGCTTCGTATTTGATCGATTTTGGCCAAAAATGCCTGTTTGATTTGATTTTATCAGCCTAATTTTTGTTATTTTCTCAGAGCTCTTCAAATTGAATCCAGATATTGATTAGGGTAGAGTAGAGTTTATTTACATTCCATAGATCCTTCTTAGGACTAAACCAAAGGATGTAGACCATGTCATTTCATACAATATACATAAACTTCAGAACTTTTGACACAAGTACAAGAACATATTTCACATATGAATGTACATAAACTTCAAATTCTGCAACAAGAATGAAAAATGGCTAGGTCACAAGATATTCCACCCACATGCATTTTATTGTTAAGGGCACTTACAATTTCATTAGCGAAACTAAATAGAGCCTTTTCTGTTGAGAGATTTTTCTAAATCCAAATTGTTCCTCTGATGTTGTTTAAGAAATTATTTACTCTCTTACATAACTTTCTCAAAAATTTTATAAACTAGGACAGGTCGGCAAGATGATAAACAGATGTGGTGAAGACCTCACTGCTAGTATCACACTTCAGTTCCCGTTAAATGTGAGAAGGCATTTGATTTCAGGAGTGTTGTGATACACTGAGAAATGTGGATGTCACATGTCACACTCGCATAAAATATAAATGCGTGAGAGCAGAAATTCTGAAGCAAAGACATAAGATTCATGTCCAAGAAAGTAAATAAAACACAGGTCATGTACCACTGTAAATCTTTCCTCTGTTTAATATCTGATCAAGGTTACATACAGATTCCAGAGAGCTGTGGCTTAATTTTAGGTTACAGAAACATTCATAAATGTGAGATTTGAGGTTTACATGGCAGCAAGTAAGAAGTTGGCTGCGTTCTGGGTTGCAGCGCCATGTAATATGTTAGAAGTTTACCAACATTTCAGGGGTCCCTGCAGCCTCTATCACTTTGATGATGGAGGCAGCAAGAACTTCTGAAACATATGTAAACTTCCACCATATTACATGGCGCTGCAACCCAGAACGCAGCCGTCTTCGTATCTCTATATGTTTCCTGCTGTGTGTTCACCAGTTCCACCTGAAGACTTTGTCAGCACAAACTCAGTTTTATAACTACAGTAAAACAAATTTTGAACCCCTTTTACTTTAATTTTAAGGCATTTACTTAAAAAATGGGGAGAAAAAAAAAGTAATGTTATATTTATGAGAAGAATCTATAAACCAGTGTGGTCCAGCACCTAATAAAATTCAACACAGTGTTCTGTACCACAAAAAGTTTTCAGTGTTATGAGAATAAACACAACTGATGACGACAACAACGTCCATTAGAGTCCTGCTGTACTGCAGGTACCAGACCATACCTTTGGCCATAAAACATTCACAAAATATTACTCATTATTACTTCTTACGCCTGCCACATTCCACGTCACTGGCAACGCAAAACTTAAAAAAGAAAAACTGCAACATGCAAAAAATTTGAACATAAAAGTTAGAAAAGAAAAACTGTAATATAACTGTCTCTATAAAATTATACATTTTCAGCATTATCAGCTTAAGGTAAATGCAAGTGCTGTTACGAAATCAATTCAGACAAACAGAAACAAAATATTTTAAGAGTACAGTCAGGCATAAAGGTAAGACCAGACTGCTGCTTCAAAAAAAAAGTCTTTATAAACTGTTATGTGGAGTTTCCAAGCTTAATGCGGTTTCTTGGAATGTGTAACACAACTTTATACTCCTTTACTTTGACCATGGATCCCATACAATGGTAGTTACCCTCTCCATCTGTTTTGCGAAATTCCTAAATAACAGAGTAGAATTTAGTTATAATGATATAGTGCAAATGATCTTGTTGATAATGCTACCAAGTAATTGGAACTGTTGTTTCCTATTGGACATAAATCTATCAATGGTAGATACGCTGGGCAGGTCAGTATCTGTTCTCCTGAAGACATGCTCCACAGAGCAATAGTTTTCAAGCTCTCTTGATAGGCAGCAACCAACGTGTCTTCTCCACATACAGGCACCAGACACGGTCGTGACAGCAGCTTCTGACTCGTGCCGCCCTGGAACGTGTGAACAGGAGCGCAAATGACGTCCGGGCGCGAATCGGCAGACGTCTTTGGTAACTGACACACGATATGACGTGAATACGGGAAATGAATGTTGGGTCGTGTCGATATCAACACGTGATCAGACGCTTTATCATACTTCAGTGACACAAATGGTCCATCAAAGGGAAGTTGTGTTCCAACATAATCTGCATCACACCCTTCATATGCCCAACAACTGTTCAGTGTGCAAGCTAAAAATCCACCTCGTGCTAACGTTCTACCAGGACACGCCGGTATCGCAGCTATTGACGTTACTGGGGATGAATCGTTTGGCGTCGTTATTTTCCACACTGGTTTCGTTGAGTATCTTATATCATGCTGAATTACAGCTCCTTTGCTTGTACCAACATAAAATAAATTTGTATTAACAACATCCCAGCAGCAGCTCCACAGTGGATTGTCGGAGGGGTAAATCTCAAAAATCCTATTATTAGCCACATCGAACAACTTGGCGCTTTGATCCAATGACACGCTGAGCAACATGTCATAACGCAATGGATGAAAAGCCAAGTCTCTTATTTCTTTCTCATGTATTGGAAACATCTGTGGCGAGTTTAATATCCTAGTATCAAACTTCGAAAGTCCGTAACTGCGAAATACGGGGTAGTATTGGGACGCAACAAGAAGGGACAGATACTTGTTATACGCTAAAACACGACAATCACCCGCGTGTACCTGAAAACTGCGATAAAATCCCATATTTTTTACTGAGGTTGGGTCACTTTTCTGCACGTCATGTCTTGTGCATCTTGCTTCTGTTTCTTGCATCTGCATTAGCGTCTGTCGTAATTCTGATAGTTCTTCTTGGAGCAACCGCTGATTCAGATTTGCCCTTGCCAATTCCAGTTCTAACATGTTTTTCTCCCTTTTGACTGTATCCAGTTGACCTTTTAACCAGTCTCTATCTGCGGTATCAAGGGCTTGCAGTTTACGAGCATAATGTAGACGGATTTCTTTCTTTCTGGCTTTCTCATTACATTGTGGACATCGTTTCATCCCGTTTTGACTTCCTGACTTCAGCCAACGCATGATGCAGCTATGACCAAAGAAATGCCCACAACGCAAAGATGACAAGCGATGATTTCCAGAGTTGGACCACATTTCCAAGCATATAGAACACATGCTTCCATCATCATAATGATCTTTCGCTTTGTCACAGTTTACTTGTTTCTTACCATCACCTATGGAATGACAATATACATTAAATTTAATTTTACACACAAGCCAAAGTGATGATGACAATAATTATCATCCTGATTTTATGGCTACTAAGAGAGAAGCTTTTCAAGAAGTAAATTCTTAACTTATGCCTTTTTTCTCCTGCACACCACTAAATTATAAACCCACATGTAGCAGCGCATATTAATGTGGGGTCTGTTGTATTATTAGCCTCGTCTATGTAGAGCTTTTGTATATGTGTGAATATACAACGAGATATATATGGACAATTGCCTATTTAGTTAGATTTGTATGTGCTTAGGATATTTATTTAATGCTGATGTTTCTGTTCTAGGTTGTGACACCGTGTGGACTTGTACACAGATACCAACGTTTCAGACTGACTCCTCTAAGTTCAATTAATAACAACATTCCTAAATGTGTATCACAAATCTTCATTATTCTACCAATAACTTACTTGCCATCTTACCTTGAGATTTTTGAGGTGACGATCTCTCAAGCTGCAGAGAATCTTGATCCAGGGCTCCAGCAACAGATGGAGATGCTGTTGACTGAGAAGTCGAAGGTGCAAACTGCGTGATGGACTGTCAAAATATACATTGCTAATAACTGAATAATGAAAAGAATGATGGTATGAACAGTTTGAAAAATGTGAGGAACCCTTAAAGGAAGAAAAAGATTCTCTCCACAACAGGCAACTTTTAAACCTGAGCCCATTATGCGTAGGATTTGAGGTTTTCACGGTGGTGAGTCTCAAGACAGCTGTCTTCTGGGTCGTTGCACTGTGTAGTCTGGTAGATCTGGGAGGCCACAGAGATTGAATTACATCTGAACTTCAACAGAGAGGATGGACATCGCCTGAGCTGGTCATGGAAGCCCCTCATTCACAATCTCAAAGAATTCAAGAAGCATCCCACAGAGCATTGCTGGTCCAGCCCAGGCCACTTCTGGCCCCAACCAGTGCTCACTTCCACTCTCTCGTTTCCTCCGCATAATGACCATCCACTGGCCAGACTCTGAAGGGTCGTGATAAGAGCTGCTTTCTCGGACGTCTCTCCTTCCTTCTCTCCATCTCTCTCTCACAGGGTGTGACAAGCCCCCACTCCCATTGGCTCCCATATCCTTGCCTGATTCCAACACCAGTCCCTACTGGTTAGGCTCAGGCTATTCCTTAATTGTCTGGTTCCTGTAACTCTAGCATTTTCCACTTGTGTGGCTTACTCATTGCCCTGATGATGGAGGCAGCAAGAACCTCTGAAACATTGGTAAACTTCTACGAAACTTCACAGCGCAACAACCCAGAAGACAGGCATCTTTTTTTTTGTTGTCACATCATCCCGTTTAGGCCCTAATATTCTTCTCAATATCCTATTTTAAAACCCTCTGAATCTCTGAGAGATAAAGTTTCACAAAACAAACAGAATGTTGTTTATTTACTCTTTACACTTGAAGAAAGAGATTCTGTCCTGAACTGATTTTTTTTTTAATTTTTGGCTCAAACATCTATGATTTTATCACTGTCTTTATTTTCATTGGAACAAACCTGCACACTGGCACTGGTACCTGGAACTTCCATAGATGTTTCTTGCCTTTGTAGTGATTCTTCTCTGTCATCAGCAAACATGACTTCATCTCCGTCTGAATCTGAAACACACCCATCAGAAATCTTAAACCAAATCCCTGATTATTCTGTATTTATTAAAGTTCACTAACCCACCAGAAAACAGACAAAATAAATTAATTTCCTTTCACTTCTGTTTGTAGCTAATATTGTTTAAATTTCTGGGTAATGAGATGTGGCAGACTGGATATTATGTTCATTTTTCCAAAACTTCACATCCTGATATCATCACCTAGTTTTGTGAAAATACAAATAAATATTTGCTTCGACACAGACTGAAACAGTGAAATGATACTGTTTAGCAAGGTATATATGTATAAAACGGATTTATAATCCTAAGAAGGATATGATTTTCTCACTGTGGCAAGTATGACTGTGGTTGTCTCCTGGGTTGTAGAGCTGTGTAGTTTAATATAAGTTTACCAACATTTCAGAAGTGCTTACTGCCTCCATCACTCATTGCCCTGATGATGGTGGCAGCAAGTACTTCCAAAACATCAGTTACCTTCTATCTGTACCCAGCGCTATAACCTAGGAGACAACCACCTCCAGATTTATAACCCATACTGAAGGACGACTAAACCAAACCAATATTCCAAATCAATCGAATTTGAAGGTTGCAATGAAACTTATTACCGAGTTCTATTGTTGTGTCAGAATCATAGTTCACCCCAGCAGCCTCCATTTCAAAACACGTCCAATTACATCAAAAGACACCTATTTCAAAGCCACCGTAAACTTATATACACTATTGGTCGTTAAGTTACACCGACTAAGTACAAACCGATATTCTAGGCAAAAACGCGGTAGCACAGCTTACACCCAGAGATTATTATAAAAACCGTTGAGTATTGCGTCACAAGCACACTTCTTTACTTTGGAAAAAAAATCAGGGTGGTTAACGATACTGCATCGAAGAAATTTACCTTTCACAAATCTTTCTGTAAAACCTATAATTTTATCCATTTTACATCAATATAAAACTTCGTCTCATGTTAAGGAACGAATACAGATTGAAGATGTTTCAGAAAAGAATGCTTGGAAGAATATTCAGACCTTGGGGAGATGATGTTTTACAAGGTTAGAGACACCTGAAAATGAAGTGCACCTTAATATAACTTCGCAAAATATTAGGATAATCAAATCTAAGTTAATGAGATGGAATATGTAGGGTCCATGGGGAGATACAAAATTCAGACAAAATTATGAGTGGAAGGTCTGAAGGAGACATCTTGGAACAAATGTTAGCAGATGGGAAGATACTTTTAAAATAAATCCTATGGTTGGAGATGGTGGATTTGATTAATCTGGATCCAGCTGCGTTATGTTAGGTTTCAATCTTAGTTTGGATGCAGTGACGTAAGAGATGGTGATCATGACATCTACAGTAATAATCTCACCTCATGAATTTAAGTAATCATGATCATGATATCATAGGTTGTCAGAAATTAGATAGTATGGGCATGTCATAACGTCAACATAAGTTTTCATAAACTTCCGCTCAGCCTCTATTTATTTATTAAAAGTATGAAGTTGGTGTAGTCACTTGTGGCATAATTTACAAACCAAGTCTGATGGCTGATCCTAAAGTTCACAAGGCAGCTCGACCTATTCGGTTTTAAAATGTGGCAGACAGACCGATGGAGTGATAAGCAGTCATTACAGGGCTTTTTATCCTTACCACTTGGTGACAAATGAAATAACAGGAAGAAAAATGAATTCCTTGTGTCCTGTGTAGGAGAATCTGTAATGCATTCACATTCATATCTTAGGTACGAAGAATTTTATTTCATTACGTACCATGGATCGCATACTCCGTGCATTCCACTTTCAATCCTCTGTGTCGTATGGTTCAAAATGGCGTTATGCTATTTTGGTTTCCGGGTTTGCGGCCACATGTGATAAAATCGAAATAGGTAAGGCATTGAATTTTGTTGGAGTTGTACTTAAATAACATTTTTTTAAAAATATGTGATATATTCTCTGCGTGTCGCTTGTTACCGTTGTTTCATTCGCGATTCCTAGATAAAAGATTTCCAATAATTTTTAATTCTGCTAAACGAAGTGGTGGAACCATTTGGTGTGAAATTATAAAGTTAAATCTTCCAGTGGACTGGTTCAGAGGGATGACTTTGGAAATGGAAGGGGTTCGAGGCAGACATATTGAAGTAATGAATTAGTATATCGCATTTAATTATTGTTATTTGCTGGTTATATGAGAGCCACACCCTTTTAGAATATAGCACAACCGTAAAACACAGAAATTTTAACCATGACTGCAATAGTAATTAGCTCTGTACTTATGTAATTTTTTCACTAAAGGTAACACGAAATAAGTATCTAAATGGAGGTCATTTCATTTGTGTATGTTATGTTTATTCACCATTTATAGAATTGGTATGTGAAATTGCATTTGTAGACAGTGAAGTTTCTGTGCTTCTAATACACATCCCCAACTATTTCTTCAGGATTTTGACAGTTTACTGTATATTTTGGCCATTTGTGGGATCTGAAGAGTTTTAAAAGTATTCATTGTATTTGCCAGAAAGTAAGTTTAATATACAGGGGTACACCATATGTTATATTCCTCATTGTACACAAATCTATTGTTTTCCAAATTGTTATTGACATAGCTGTTTTTACAGTTATTTGTTACAAACTAGTTCAATATAATACCTTGCTGTCATGTTATAAAGTGCTTTCTTCAGATAAAAGGACAGCCTTTATTTGTATTGTTATAGAATTATCATTCATTCAGTAAGTTACTGTCAGTGCAGTTTGTAATTTACAGTTCTGATAAATATGTGATGTTCCTGAGAGCATACGTCTACTGTAGTTTTTATGTATTTTGCAAAAATAATATAATACTATATTCCCTGCTTTGCACTGAACAGTGAATTCAGAAACTTTGTATTTCCCACGGATACACAGTTAGACTGTTGAGTTTTATAAAACAAAGTTTGTTGACATTGTTAACATGAACTAGGCTTATCAGTTGCATTAATTAACCTTTATAATATCAGAATGGGGAAGTAAAACCTTGTACTAATTGGCTGCCAGCCGGACTTCAACACCAGAGCACAGTAATTTATTGGTATGCTACTGCAGTGCACATCCAGTTTGGTCTGCAAATGTGCCATGATGCACAGCAAATGAAGTATAATGGTATTAAGTTCTTAACTATAAGACTATATGTTATTTGCTAAGTGATGTATCATATTTATTCTGTTTTGATGTGTGGTACTGTACATTGCAGATGGCATTGTCAGCAGTGAACTGGGTTGTGCTTGTATTGGAATAAAGCTAATAATAATTTGTTAGTTCAGGTATGGTGCTAGAAGGCACACACAAACTTGGTGTCATGGTTGAAAGACCATGGTCGTTTCCACTACTATCATAGCCTCAAATCTCAGACAGTGTACAATTATTGGTAAATATTCTGAGGTACTCTGCTATGTGGGATATTTTATGACCTTACTTTTATCATTTCCTTCCCATATCACATTTAAAAATGTAAATGTTGTTTCATGTGGGTGTAAAACATGGTATCTCACTATAATGAAAGTACAGAGAATGAGGAGAGGGTACTGAGTAGAATATTTTGACTTAAGAGAGGTAAATTGACAGGAGGATAGATAGAAGTTCATAATTGAGGAGCTTCATAGTTTGTAATCTTCATGTATCAGAATTTTCACCAAAAAACCTAATGGAAAAAGTCACTTGAGAGAACTAGATGTAGATGGGAATATAATATTAAAGTGGACCTTAAAGCAGAAAGGTTTGAGGCTGTGGACTGAGTTTATCTCTCTCAGTGTAGGGTCCAGTTGTGTGCTGTTCTCAACACGGTGATGATACATTGCTGCAGTCTATAATAAGTGTAATTTATTGAATCGTTGATATAATTTCAGAAGTTCAAGGTACATTCTGAGTTTGGTTAAGTAAGAGGATTTTACAGTTTATATTAATCCATGGCATATCATACTACGTGTGAATACAAGCCAGAGTTTTGCAGCATTTCACACAAGGATCTTGTAATTTTGTGTCACTTGTTTGTGTTCAAAAATAACTTCAAAAGCTTTGCTAGGACCTGTGGTCCAGTTTTGCTATTGCTCTTTTATGTTGGACGTAATGTTACATTACTTGGTGTTGTCCAGTGTGAAGTATTTATTTGTTCAAGAAATAGTTTTCTGCAAGTAGGAAGCAAGCATTCCCTGTCTGCTGTGAGGTCATTGTATGTGAATTTAAATAGACACTAGTCTGAACAGGCTGTTTTATACTATTCTGAAAATTGAAACACTGTAAGTCTAATGTGTCATTGGATGAAACCCTTTGACTAGATTCATTTTGAGAAGTTAATTTTACCCTTGAAGGACAGCTTAATGGGTTACAAAGAACCTTGATGTGAGGTGGATTCATAATTTAAAAACTACTAATATTTGTATATGTCATTCTTTCTGGAATGCATTAAAAAGTAAGCTAAACTAATGTTTAATTAATAAACTTATCATTTAAGATGGTAGACCTAGTTGACATGCAAATTTGTGTGCAGTGTAATACGGCCTGTAAGTAACTTACTCCACACTAAATATAGCCTGGGCTTCTTCCAGACCTTCTTCAAACTGCCCTCTTCTGGTAGGATTCGTAACTATTTGGATATATGCCAACAAAATATAGGCAAAGTCTTAAAATACCAACCACAATTTTTAATCCCTGTTAAGAAATACAGGTCCATTTCTTTCATTAAATCAAGTCAGTATTTTAAATCACATATTCAAAACAATTTAACTTCTCTTCTTGAGAGTTTATTCTTGATCTTTTTTTAATGACATATAGGCATTCAAGTTATTCTTGTGTGTTGTAACATTTGGTCTTTCGGTAGAAGCACATGGAAACAAACTATATCAAGAACTGTGTAGGAGTGTAACTTGTCATCAGTGATGTGAAGTTCAGTGTTGGAAGCAGTTTTGTATGACTTGGTGCTGATGTTTGAGAATGCTACACTGAAGTCATTGTTATATTTGTTTTGAAAGGGTATCGCATTCTGTTAAAAGAAGTTCTGAAACTCTGAGAGAGCTACTTCAAGAAAATATTGCTTGGAGACATCTTTTTTATTATCATCCATTAAGTAATACCTTGATCTGCTTACGTTTTGGAGAACTCTTTAGATCTTTTTGGATGATGTGTCTCCAGGGGATGGTGTGTGTACTAGAAGAAGGCGAGGCACTGTGCATTATTCAAGATCTCACGTCTGCCACAACTGGCACTAAGAGGAAACTGTTGCTACCCGTCTCATCTACGGTCCAGGAATTGTTTCAGGAGGTTGGACAGATCTTCCATTATGATCCTGAAAATTTTGAACTCATCTTAGACTGCACTTCAGATGGACAATCGGTTAGCTTCTAGCGGATTACATTTGTAGAACCTATTACCCAGGTGTTGACTGCGTAAGAAACCTGTATCTTCTTTAACCTTTTTTGGATGAGAATATGGGATGTAGAACTCTGTACTTTGGAGCTGTTTGCTGGATTTCATTTTTGGGGTTTAATGGTTCAGTAGAATGCTACTGTACTGCGCATATGCCACGATGCGAAGAATGGTTAACACAGCTTTTGATCCTTCATTCTGTATTCCTAACCAGCATTTCTTCAGAACTTAATTTTTAATGAGGAAATTATACACAGATATGTTAGTGACTTACTGAAATTGACATCTGTAATTCCAATTATGGTGTTTGCATATGCTATGGAAATTGTATGGGGACAGACCCTTTGTTTATCAACATATTTATAAAATTGTATTCATACACACATTTACATTACACTGGAGTAGGATTTCAGTAATGTGTTTGTCACCCTGGGTAATCAGGGTTCATCTTTTAAGTTGTGCTATGCATTGTGACAGAATGAATATTACTTTTGTCCAATATTTAGTGATTATCAAGATTTTTTCATGTGTCGTACATTAGTTTGTCTATCAGCTTACACTGTGTAGTCATGTAGATGATTTTGGAGGATCCTGCTGTCTCTGTCTTGAGGGTAGAAGTAAGTGGAGCTGGGATGTAAGTTGTTTTGTACAGGTCTGGTGGAGGGAAATGATGATTGGCCACTCATAGCCCAGGAGAGTGAAGTGGGTTTGCTTTCCTGTATGAGCTAATTGGAAGTGGGAAACAGGAAAGTCCTTTTCAGGCCAAGTGAAAATCTTTTGAAACATTGCTAACCATCTGCATGACTACAGAGTATCACAACCCAGAAGACTGCAATGTAAGCAGGTCTCTCCCTCCCCCTCCCCCCCTCCCCCCAAATTAAAAAGAATGCGGCATGAGCTCTGATGGTTCAGGTATGTGGGGTTCATTGTGTAAACCTGTAAAAAATATAATTTTTGTAACCATGTGCTCAATTTAACACATCCACCCTTCTATTAGTTAATTTGTTTACATGTAAAAATAATGAAAATTTATATAGAGACTGTATTGTGGAAGACAGTTCAACAACTCACATTATATGTATAAATTTGAGTCACTTTGGGTTTGAAGTGTGTTACACTGTCTGCCATAAATACATGATTATGATAATGGTCTTTGATTCTTAAGGCAAAACTAACCAATTCTGTTTTCTTTAGATTATCCTCAATGAACATAAGGAAAAGACCATCAGTGCAGTGGGTGTGAACTGTGACTCTGGAGCCCGGAACACATTCATAATTACAGACATGCCGACTGCGCCGAGACGCAAAGTTGTGCCAGTATCTGGGGATGGCGAAGATGATATGCTGTTAGGGGCCTCGGCCAGTCCCACGGCAGCGGCGGACTATGCTCATCCGCCGCCTGCGCCCCCACCTCCTCCCCCTGTCGTCAGCAGTGGGGACTGTTCTTACGCCGCTGCTCTGATCAAGCATGACACAGGTAGTATTGAGCATCTTGTTGTTTGTTTTTGTCAGATATGAACACTGTAAGTGCAAGTAGTGTTAGAACCTTTAAGAGGTGGGACAGTTTTTGCAAGAGCTTTACTGAAAGAATTGAATTTTTACCCTTTCTACAGCATTGCATAGAATTCCATATTACATTATTGTAAATAATATGTGATTTCAAATTGTGAGTGCAGTCTGTTTAAGGAAGTGATACAACTTCTCTGTCGAGCACACTTGGTCAGGTGCATAGAATTTTAAATGTGAGTATTTTCCATGGAAGAACTTGAAGGGAAAATATTTACCTTTATGGGACAGGAAAAAGGGATTTAAGTCTCTCTATTACAGAGCTGCCAGCCAGACTTTAACTGCAGGGTTAATGGTTATTGGTGTGCTAGTACATCACATAGACAATTTACGTTAAAACAGACCATGACTTCTTCTTTCACCTTCCCCCTTACAAATTTTGTAACTTAGAGCCATCTGTTACTGAATCTCTGAGGCAACAGAAGCATTGTTTATTTCATGGTACAGGGTTTTCCTTGAGGAGTTGATAGTTATTCACAAAAAATTATCAAGAAGAAATGAACCCATCATGATCCAGTTAAGTTCACACATTTTCCCTGTTTAAGATCCATTTTAATATTATCTTCCTGTCTTCTGCATTTTATCTTTTCTTCATTTGAGGCTAAAGTTGCACCCTAACAAAAGCCATCCCATTACATGCCAATGTTGGCACTCTTTCTCAACCTCAACACTAGAAGGGGGTGAATGGTCAGAAGCACCCCTGGCTGTGCTTTACACCTGGGAAAGGACCCTGCTACCCATTAGATAGGAGGCTGGGTGGGTCCCAGAGCCATTTTGTACGTAGAGTCTAGAAGAAAGTATTGTAACGTTTGTATGTAAATCATTTTGTGCTAAGTTAATTCTAGGGTGTTCTTTTTTTCAGTTAATCTGTGCCCAGACATTGGTATTTATATTCTTACTGTTTCTTTAGATGTCGTTAATTTTGTCTTTCGGAAAATTCCTTTTTTTTGTTTGTTTGTATGTATGTATGTACCAAGAGGCTTTGACTTGTTCAAATTATCTGTGGTTGTTAGGCTCAGATTCTTCAGTCAATGTAAATTAGACTGCTTTTTTTTTTCATTTTTCATCTTATTTGCTGTTCGTTTAATAAATTCATAAAAAGCATAACAGTTTAGCACTCCTCGTTATTGTTGTATTTCTGCTAATTGAATATTCTGGGTGTGTCGTGTGACAGGTTACGTTGGTTTGGTAAACCAAGCGATGACTTGTTACCTCAACAGTCTCCTGCAGGCTTTGTACATGACACCAGAATTTCGCAATGCTTTGTATAAGTGGGAGTTTGATGGAACCGACGCAGAAGCAGTAAAATCTATACCATACCAGTTGCAGAAATTGTTCCTCAATCTGCAAGTAAGTGCAGTTAGTAGTCATTCCATAAATGAATAAATCTTGTGTAACGTGGTCTTCAGGAGCAGCAAGAATGTGCTTGCTATTTCTTTGCATACACGCCCATATTTATCGCGTAGTCTCGTGGGTACGGTGCCGTGTCTGAAATGTGGTGTGTGGTCATCAGAAGTGATTGGCCAGTTTCTAGGTGCAGTTGTGTACAAAAATTAATCAGTCACTTTTTATGACTGCACTCCAG